CAATTTTACTACTCACTAAATCCACACTAATCTCCCCTCTGAGTCTCCTTTCACACACTCAGCTCGAGGCGCTCTGACATGCAACGCTGACTCCGCAACTCTGTCCCAAACGGGACAGAAGACGCGCAGTTTCTATCTGCACACAAATATCCAGATCCATCAGAGGAGTGTGTGCTTCTGTTTCCACCATGCCTCATGTATTTGTTGTCCAAATCTCAGTTCTGGTAAATTCCCCTCACTCTGCTCTCTCTCTTCTAGGTGTGTGAATCAATGGGGATCTAAGGTCAAAGGTCATTATTATCACTGCAGACATGATTCAGATCTGACCTGTGAGTAACTGGAGTTAGAAAATGAGGAGGAGGATAAGAAGAGAGGCGATTACTTGCACCAAAAACACCTGGATTTGTTAAAGTACTGAAGCTGCCTCATTCAATTAACTTTTGTTTTTTGACGTTCCCACAAAAAATTGTACTTAACAGCTGCATCAGCCTTAATTAATTTCAGATTACAGTCCATGTTGCATTTACAGTCATAAATACGAGAAAATATTTCTAAATTAGTACCAGAAACACTTTGATTTTTAGTGCAAAAAAGTCACAAAAACAATCACAAAATCCTGGAGGGACTGATATTAATTTTAAGAATTTATTAACAGTTTATCAAGAGCAATTTATTTTTTCTTCTCACCAATAAAATAATGATTTCTTCATATATTATCATATGTATATTATTGTAAAAACAAATTACTTCATAGTGAAATTATGTGTTTTTGATATAAAGACGCATAAATTATTACAAAAAAAAAAGATCAGCTTCACGCTTGCTCAGTTTGCCTATGCCTGGGGCCGGCCATACCATAAAGGATCATTGAGTTTATTTAGCTGCTTGTTTCACCCAGAAAATATTCAGAAATGTGTAAATGTTTGTAATCTTCTTTGAATGTCACAAAACCAGAGAAAAACCTTCAGATAAATGAAGAACAGTGGTTGCTGGAGGTTCTTAGAAAGACAAATGGGAACATTTACAATGTTTGCAAGTGAAATCTTTTGACAAAGGTTAATAGAATAAACATTGAGTGTCTAAAAAGTCAGCTGCTAAAAAAAATAAAGTGGGTGGAAAACAGCTTTCCCCTGGGCTTCCTATTCGCCTCTTCAGGATGAATTATTTTGGATTTTAGCCAAACATCTGTGAGACGTCCGTGTCATTGGAAAGTATCCCTGACCCAGCAGGTGTTCTGCGTGCATCGCTGCAGTCTGTTTGTTTGTGTGTGTGTGGGTGGGGAGTTTGTGTACAGTGTGAACCTCGTGCATGCGAGTGAGAGAAGCCGGCTGGTGGTGAAAAGCTGCACCTGCATGCATTGAGAAGAGTTCTCTGAATAGCTCCATATTTGAACAGCCTCTTGTCTACAGATAAAGCTGTAAGTGATTCGTGGCAGCTTCCTGCCTGCGGTTGAGAAGAGTGGAGGGAGGGGGAAGCATGTGGAGGAGAGAATCAGAAAAAGAGATGAAATGAGAGCATTAGCTGTAATTACGGCTTCTTTTCTCCATTTGAAAGTGCATTTCTCTGTTTCCAAGAGAATTAGTTCTGGATACTCTGGATGGGTCATAGCAGCATTTCTGTGCCATGAATCAAGTGAGAACAGTGTTGCTTCGAAAGAAGTACAACATTTACATATTATTCATTCACTTTAGTGTTGATTTTTTATGACTAAAGGTGCCACAATCACAATCACACCTACATTGGCACTTTTAAAGAGTCAGTCTTGCACCAAAACCTCATTTTGCCTCTCATTTAATGCATCATCTTGTCCAGACATGCTGATCTCTGATTTGGCTGTTCTTTTCGGTTTCCTCTTATGAATAGGTACATCATGTGAGTTAAGGTGGATTTTGTTACCTAAACCAATCGAGTCAGAATAGAAAAGTGGAGAAGCAATCCTGCAAGTAATTGCAACTTTTTCCAACAAAGGAGACTCTTCTGTACAAAATTAAACTTGCTATTAAATAATTAAGTCTGGAAATTGACATTTGACAAATGTTTAAAAATGTTTTAATGTGAGAAGACGTTTCTTCCACAAAACTTATATAGCAAGAAAACGTATTCATTTTGCACATAACCTTTCACATCAAACTGTACTTGTGTTGTTTTAAGGAATATTAAGGAAAATTTTTAAATAGAATACATTATATTTATTTTTTCACCCATTTAGCATTTACAGTTTTTAAAAATTAGCCATCAGTTAACATCTCAGTTTGTGAAACTGCTTTTAAAACATTACTTCTGACTCTTAAATGTTTTCTATTATAGGTTGAATAAGACCAGTAATTTGCTGTGTCCAAAGTGACCTCTGCGATGCTCCTGACATTTGGAAAATTGTCCTTTCTTTCACCTATTTCCTTTGATTCTGCTGGTGTTTTTCCTTCTAAATGCCATTTCAACCTGTTCAGTCCGTTCTGCTCTGTAATCTACCCATTTTCATCTTCCTTTCTTCTTCAACGGCAGTCGACCATCGATGAGTTTCCAACCTTTGTTGGGTTCACATTTCCTGTCCATTTCTTTTGAAACTGTCTCCCATCACATGGCAAAAACACTCTTAGAAAGTTCTCGGTTTTCATAACAAGAAGAAATGTGGCGCCTCATGCTGCACTTTTGAGGGGTAGAAAATATTTTCACAAAGGCCACATTGCACAGGTTTAGTTACTTGTACCAAAATAAGTTTAGCATATTTTTGGAACCATAAAACTATGAAACATACAGCCATATTTGAAGGTATTAAAATAAATTCAGCATTGAAAACATTGTGAAGCATTGCTTTTGACTAAAATGACACAAGCCTTCTCTACTTTTGAATATTTTGTAGCAAAACTTCAAGATTGTAAAAAATGACCAGTGGCAGACGAGGTTCTGTCCATTTATCAGTTTATTTAGCAGCAAAACTAAAAATGCTGCTTATTTTGTTGATAGTTTTTGATTAAACCTTTTTTAAATTAGCTTACATCACTCCTATTTCAACATCCTAGCACTGATCATCTGTTTTAAAATTCCTTTTACATTAATTTTAAAGCTCAGTTCTGTGTTCCTGAATTGCTAAAGCATCATATTTGCCCACACCAAAAGTTACTCTTAGTCAGGAGGACCAAATGTCCGACCCACTACACTGAGCCCTAGTTACAGTAGTAAAGCGCTGGGATGTGTTGAACCGACTCAGATATTTTCTTTACATGGTTGCTCTCCTTCCTGCTCTCATTAAGGTCTAGCTATAAGACTACTGAGCCACAAATCTGCAGTGGGAGCATCACTCGACCGAGTAATAGAGCTGCCCCAAACATCTGCAGAGCACATTGCCTATAGCAGACACAGCAGCAGGGAGGCGAGGCTTATTTAAAGAAGAGCAAGCTGCGAGGAGTCCAGGCAGAGAGCTGGTTGGCAATCATTAACAGAGACGCGCTGTTTGCTTTGTCTCTGTCAGCATTTGTCTCTGTGTGCGTTTCCATAGTCAAAATGAGCAATAACAACCTGGACGCTTTATTTATAATCTTATATCAGCATTAATGCATCTAAAATTAGCAATGGTTGATAATAGGATGGTCTGGTTTAGATATTTCTTTGAATTTATCAATTAAATATACGTAGTGTGCTTTTATTATTGACTGGTATTGTTTTCAAATCAATGGGCTGCAGCTCATCGAAAATGCTGCTGTTGAACCTGAAGGAAATGAACCATATTACACTGGTGCTAAAGTCACTAGACTGGCGCCCAGTTTGTAAAATGACCGATTCTAAATTCATGCAACAGATCTGGGCTCAAATACCTTTCAGATTTTCCGTCTTGACCTCTAAGGTCATCAGAGGTCATCAGTAAGTCGCTCAGTCAGGACCTGAACTGAAAAAGGTGAACCACCATTTATATTTTTTATGCTTCTCTGCTCTGACGCAAACTCTCTGAAAGTCTGAGATGTGCAGAAAATATTGGTTCATTTTCGTCAAAACGTAAAAAAATATCTACTTCAGTGAATGTCAAATATGAGTTTTTTTGTATTTGAAGTTATTTTTTATGTCATCCCTAAGTTTACTGTTTTTATTTTCATCATATTTACCTGTCTAGTTTGGAAAATCATGTAAAAAACACTGCTGGCATCTTTGGTCCGGCTTTGTCAGCTGAAGAGAAAGAACGACGGTTTGTCAGGTTTTCACTGCCGGTCCTCCTTCGTCATTTGCCATCCCCTCTTTGGGAGATCCGAGTGCCACATCCGGTCAGGCTGAGTGTCTGGAGGATGCTCGGCAGCTCCTCCAGGAAGAGCATTAGCATATACTTACTCTGGGAATGCCCTTGACTGGCTGTCTGTAGAATGGGACGTGAGCAGCATCAGATACACCAGCGACTTCCTGGGAGAGACAGAAATAAATAGAATGAGGCTCAGAGGGGGGAGAAATCAAGACGAATAAGCAGGAGCGAGCAACCTCAAACAGTCATCATATACACTGTGAATGCCTCATTCAGAGTGTTCATTAATCCCACCTTCTAGTGTTATTGAGCTTGCACAAGGGCTTTGTTTCATCCTCTCAGACAATATCCACAGAAATGGTCCATAAACCAAGAACAAGTTTGTAAATGATGTGTGGAAATGCACATCTAATAGTACCACCGACTGATATTTGTTTTCATGGAGCAGAAGGTGTGAGTGGGTGGGGGGAAAAATGTCAGAAAATAGTGAGCTGAGAGATCGAGGGGCTGTGTGCATTTTGTCTGACAGCGGAGGAGCAAGAGAGGGAGCGGTAGGGAAGAGAAAGGAGTCGGAGCGGAGGAAGGGGGAGGGGGCTGGAGTAGGTGGGCGGGAAGAGAGGGAAGGAACGGCGAGCCGCTCGCTCGCTCGCTGGAGCTGCTGACTGGGTGTTCAAGTGTGTGATCGTGAGTGCTTCTTGAGCCGTCGTGTGAATAAAAGGACGTTTCTTTTCAAGCCACTGATGTTTGTTTTTCCCCTTGTTCCTTCTTCTCAAAGTGCAACATCAAGCAGAAGTTGTCTGAAGCCCTTCCTGGGATTTTGAAGAGAACCCAAAGAAACACAGCGAGCTGCCAGGTAGGAGATCAAACCAAACATCATTCAGGCATACATTTACATGAAGGCAGAGCTTTTGTTTGTGTTTCTGCTTTGAAATGAATGCATGCCATGGCTGGCCGCTTGAAATGGAGATTTTTTGATATGTGTGAGCGCGTCCGTAAACACAGGACACTGTACTGTAACTAGAGAAGTCAGGCTGGATTGTGAAGGGAAAAGGAGTCTCTCATCATAAGTGATGGATGTCAAAGGGTTTCCCATTTATTCCTGAAAAGTGCTAAAAAAATGTAAAGGCGAGATTAACTTGGGAAAATCATTGAAGGTTTTTTTCTCCTTTACATGTCCACATTTCTGCACACGTTTTTTTTTTTATTTTGTAGTTCATTAATAATTAGTTTTTGGTTTCCATTCTGAGTGGGTCCTGGCAGAATTGGGCTCCTCATGGTGGTTAGGATGAGGGTTGGGCTCAGCTCCTCAGTGGAGACAATAACTGAGCTCTAGAGAAGCCAACAGATGTGACATATTTACCGCTTGTATCCAGTTTGGATCTGGTGTTGCTGCTTCCCGTTTGCCTGTGTTTGCTTTCTTTGTCATGTAATGAGAAGTTAACAGTGTAATCGAATCACTGCACTGCCTTCCCCGCTGTTTGTCATTTCCCCCCTCTGTCATCCCTTATCGCTTCCCCCTCTCTTTTTGGCCTCATTATCCCTGATTCGCCTGAAATGAACGAGTCAGTCTCTCTGCCTTCCTCCATCCATGCATGCTGAGGTGCCATAGATGTTTTATCAAAGTGTCTGGAGCTGAACAAAGCTTCCCAGCCTCTGTTATTGTTTGAACTTTTGCTCACTTAGAAACACAAGCGAGGTAAAATCCACTGTGAAGTTTTCAGACTTCAAACTAGTTTGGTGTCAAGTCCACTTTTCTTACATCTTCTAAATCCTTACTTCAGTGCTTTGTGGCTCCTTAGAAATACCTGGTTGTGTTTGCAGCATTCATTGTGAAATTGCAGTTTCTTTCTCTTTCCTTCCATCTTTAAATACAGCTGCACACATTAGAATCTCTCCATGTCTCCTTAGCCTGTGTGGTGTGTATCCAGCAGCATTAATAGTTAAAGAACAGAGTGTTTTTAATGAACAGCTGTTATGGTACACTGTACTACAGCGCCGTGCAGCAACATGCTGACCTTCACCTAACCTTGCAGAGCAACAGTGGTTGTTTAGACACTAAATAAAGGATGGCATCATTTACAAATCACATATTTTTTCATGAGAAGTTTGAAGGTAAGCAGCAGCAGGAAGCAATGAGATGCAGATATGCTGCTTTTTTTATTGAGTGGACCTATGTGTGGACCTCCGGACTGGTTCAGGACATTAAAGCTTCCCTGGAGGTGACAGCATCGCTGCCCAGAGCGGCATACGGCTTCTCTCGCTCCACTGGATCCAGACCACTCTCTCCGTGACTCACTGCCTCATCCGCTATGATTGGTTGTCCTTTCTACTCCAGGGAAGGACAGGATGAGGTGGGATCAGCCTTTTCTTTTACAGTTCATTTAAACATGAAAAAGTTTAAATGAAACCTCCTAAACCTTACAACAAAGTAAGGTTTAGGAGGTTTTGCGTCCTTTCACGACGAGCATCCCTCCTCCCACTCAACTCCTCTCCATCAGTGCAAGACGCTGTGACACGTGTGGCAGCTCAGAGAGCAAACAGGGCGTGGAGCTTCCCGCCTGCTGAGACTCTAGCTTGGTTGGCGCTTTCAGACGGTCCCAGCTGAGCCGAGGTCCGGGCCGCTCCACCCAGACAGGCAGCCGACAAAACGATCGTCTCATATCAGTGAGAAGAGCTTCTGGAGCGCTGGTTCAGAACCACGGACAGCGCTGCTGCACAGCACAGCAACAGAGACGATGCTGGGAATCAGCCCCTCCTTTTATAGAGGCCACAAGAAATGACATGAATGTGACGCAAAATATTCATCTTTTTTTTTAAAAGCAGTGATGTGGTGATTGGATTATGTAATGTGCAGAGGTGGCAGGTTCACCGTTTGGTTACAAAGGGAGCAGTTTGTTTCTAAAGTGCAGAAAATAGAAAAGGTGCTTTTGATCAGGTTGTCTGGCCTGCCGCTGTGGTGCAGCTGAATCCTCAGAGCATTTCTTCTGGATCATTGGTGCATTACATTACAGTCGATCCGTGCTTAATTACTTTTAACACAGAAAGCAGCTTAAATTAGACATTTTTGTCCTTTTTTTTTCTTGTTTTCTGTTATGTTTTTAATCACTGAATGCTAAACTAACTGCATAAAGTTTGTAATAACTTTGTATGCAAAAATCATTTTAAATTTTAATGTTATTTTTAGATGTGTTTGTTTTATTCCTTGTGCTGCACAGTCATCTACTTGCTTCCTGTGAGATATTTGGCTGCATTTTCCTTGAATCTAAACCACAATGTGCTCTTAGCAATGTTTTGGGTGAGTGTGTGTTTGACTATACCATTTAATTATGTTGTCAGTGAAAAGACCACTCAGGTGCCATTAAATCCCAGCAGAATATTAGCTTGCATTTATGCAAAATATGGCATTTCAGTTATATTATGGCAGTTTATATAGAAGGATTTTTAAAAATGCACTAATAGTTAATGACAAACACATAAAATATTCTCCTTTACATAATCAATCAAAATTAAAAGCAGATGGTTGACTATTTGTGGCAGTTTTTATGTTATTTATTTTTAAAAAATGGTTCTCAAAATGTTTACAATTGTGTGTTGAGAACTAGACGTAACATTGTTACCAAATCCTAAAAAGAGGATGATGATAAATGGATCTTTCTCATAAATTTCTTGTGTAAAAAAAAGAAATAACTATAATCTCTCGTAAACCAAAGTGCTAAATTACTGTATTTGTTTACTGCTTTTGTTGAACCATTAGCTCCAGTGTTGGAGAATCTTTATGAGTTGAAGGATACATCACAAAGAATAAATTTAATTAGGTGCAAAAATAAAAATTTCTGCTGATCACTATTTGTTTAAAGATTACTGTCCCTGATCATCATACATTTACAACCGAGTTAAAACCCTGAAAGGGACTCTTTAACTTGATCCTTTCAATTTGCCCTCATCCACAGGACTCTGCACACATTTACACAGCAGGAAAGTGAAACCAGTCTGGCCTCTGAGCTTTTGTTTTCCACAGTGGACAGCAAACCAGCCATTCTCCATGTACTGTAATTGAGAGTGCTAACAACCAACCAGGGACATTTGTATATGTACCCATTTGCATAATCAAATAGGCATAAGTTAAGTGTTTTCCACCAGTGTGTTAATAAAACTATCTGCTAACGTGTGCGGTGTGTTTCATGGCTCATCGCTGCAGTCAGATTTGTCTATCTGTAGCTTTCTACCTGGGATGATTTTCTTTTTCCATCTGTTCTAGAAATGATGCCGGTCCTGTTCTGTTCTTGTTTCTATAGGACGTGTATCTGTGGATCTAATGTTGAGATCTCATGTTAGACAGCTTCTGGGCTGCAGGTAATTTAATGTGTCAAACAGACCAGACTGGACACGTTGACTGCAAGAGAACGGTAAAAGGAGCTGAGCACATGAAATACAGTTGTATGAGTTTTGTTTTTGAAGAAGAAACTATATATTTTTTCCAACTTGGTCTGCTGGGGCTGTCTCTGTTGCTCCACTGCTTAAATCCATGTGCTGTCTGCTACAAATGTGATCTGAGCGGTACGTTTTATCACATATCTCTGACTCCACGCTATGCAAAGTATTCACCAGAGACCCCTGTTTACTGAGAGGGAAGAGGGCAAAGCTGACAGCATCAGCAAAAGTGCAGTTTCTGCAGCACTGAGTGCACAGGTTACTGAAAGGTAGAAGGAAACTCGAGAGAAGCTCACCTCAGATGTATTTAATAGTTGCATAGCAACAACTCGGAGCTTTTCAGCAGATATAGCACCAAGCAAAGGCTTGTTTTGTGTTTGACAGAATGTGGAATAATGGGTAATGAAAAGAGGAAAAAAGCTGTGCTGGAAGACATCTACTGTAACTACGTTTATTATCTTTATCCTCATTTGGTGAGCTGTTTAATTAGAAATGAAAGCTCCCTGCAGCCAGGTGCAGTACAGCAGGGTCCAATGGGGGGATACTACTGATCCATTTCTCTGACAACATACAAAGCGTGTTGGAATATAAATATATTTCACTCAATGGTTTTCATTTGTGCCTGATTGATTAGAAATAGCAACATTTTTGAATGTTTGAAGGGAAAATATGTCAGTACACAAGTGGTTAATATTGTTTTCATCTAAAAAAAAAAATCTGCAAGACAAAGTCTGAGTTGTTTACAAGTTTACATTCTGTTACATCTGACATGAAACTAACATTCCAGAAAAAGAAATGTCTGGTTTTGTTTTGCTTCTCCAGCCTCTGGATGACTTGCCATCCAGGAATTATGCTCTGTACCAGAAAACAATGTCCAGCAATTAGCTTGCAGTCTTAAGATCAAGTGTCTTTGAGCTGTGCAGCAGGAAAATAATCCAAAGCACACCAACAACTCTACACCTGAGTGTTAACAAAGGTGAATCATTTATTGTAAAATCTGAAAAAACCTTAAGAGTGTTGTGGATGTAGCTAGTAAATAGGATATTTGTTTCATGTTTTTACTTTCAGTCTTTTATTTAAAAGGCATGGAGGCTAAGATCAGCAGCTGCTTAGAACTTGCTTCCTAAAAAAAGCTTAAATTTGTCCTGTTTTCTCCCAAATCCTCCTCAACATTTAAGCAACAAACAGACGTTGTCTTTGTTTTAGTAGCTTTGTTTTCTGTACATTCATTGGGGTTCGTGGTCTCATCTTCTATCTGCGACCTTACAATACGGTCTTCTTTTCGCCGTTGAGAAGATGTGTTCTGTTAGGAGGCCAAATCACAGAAGGAAGAAAGTCACAGGGTTATCTACAAATCAGACACGTTCTCCCACCTCGGCCCTTTAATGCACTGACGCACCCTGAAGCAGAGCAGGCTGTGTT